GTTTCATCCCTGCTATCTGTAGTGCATCTGCCCAAGACTACCAACCACTCTCTCCCTTGCAAATCCACCAATTCTTCTTTTGAGAAAAATCACCATAAATATTTACAATTACAATGTCTGCTTATCAAGTTACTAGTCTTTAAGCCATACATTAGAATCGCATCATATATCTTTCAATCCTTAGACTCTTACATGGGGAGTCAATAGGTGACATGGTGGTTGGCGTGCTGGACTCCCACATGGCTGACCATGGTTCAAGTCTCAGATCTGATGGCTTTGCTTTCTTACTTTCCCTTTCTATCTATCTCTGTCTCTCTAGGGAATACACATGAGAGCAAAAACTTAAAAAAGTGAAGTAACTTTCCCACCAATACATTAAAAAAAAAAAGAGTTGCATAAACAGTAGTCTATTAATATTAGATGACTGAGAAAGTCACGATGCATTTTTGTATAAAAAAATACAACAGGACTTTCTGGACGACTCAATGCACGTATCAAGGGAGCCAGCAAGTGGTACGGTGGTTAAGGCATTAGACTCCCACATGGCCGACCATGGTTTGCGTCCCAGACCTGGTGGCTTACTTTCTCTCTTCTCCCTTTTCTCTTTCTCTCTCTGGTGAGAGCATGTGCCCTATAGCAATTTTAATTAATAAAATTAACTTTAATTCTTTTTAAAAACTATATATATATATATCAAAATGTAGGTCAATCTTTTAAGCTTTTGTAATAACTGAATCAAATGTCTTTTACTTGCCAGATTGTCAACTTACGTGCCTCAAGCATAAATTTCTCCTCAGAGAGCATAAACTGAGCAAACGTTATATAATGCACTTTATAAAAACCTATGTAACTTTTTTTTGACTTTTGGTCATTAACATACCCAAAACAAGGCAAAGTAGTTTTCTAAACACATTGCTGATTTCCCAAACAAAAGTATCCACTTTACAAATATAGCTCTCCCCCCTAACTAAGCAGGTGTTTCATTGGTATTCTGATGTATTCAACTATATTCATAAACTTAAGTGAAAAGCAACTGTTTAAGTTCAGGGGTTTACTGTCCCTAGCTTTCACAAAGCTGTTTTCAGAGCTAGTGTGTGAAACATGATTTCTCTGAAAAGCTATGACAAACTATTACCGATACTCTGGTAACAGTTTTGGTGGTGGTGGTGCTGGTGTTTTAGTTTTTGGTATAAGGTGTGTGCACTCGCCAGAGACAGAAAGAGAAACTGGGGAACTAAGAAATCACCCCTTGGAGTATGGGCTCCGCCACAACCTCTTCTCCATTCTCCTCTTGGAATTTCGGGCAAGCACTGCTGCACATGTGCATGCCTGGTTTGATTTTCAAGTTGCCAGGTCCGGGACTCGAATCAGTCACATAAGATCCAGTCACCCCAACCTCTATGCCACCTGCTGGCCCCAGTTTTGGTATTTTCTTAAGTAAGCCTGAACTGAGAAATTCCCATATTTATTTAGAGAATCCTTTAAGACTACCTCTAGCTTCATCCTTGCAAAACTACCTCAAAGAGAAAAGTATCTCCACAAGCAACAGTGTATCTAGGAAGTGTTCCATAATATAAGTTTTCATCTCCTTTTACTCTAATGAAAGTTGAGAGCCTCCTTGAGATCATTAATTCAAAGTATTATGAAAGAATTCTTGTCTTTCATTTAAATAGCTGTAGTAATAGAAAGTACATCTTCATGACAACTTTCTACAACTCTATCTGATATATATAAAATGTATTTAAGTCCAACTATAATATAATTTTCTTCTCTGAATGTGGCTATTGAATAAGGTATATTTTTAGTTTACCCTAATCAGCCTGTGTGTGACAGCAAGAAAAGTATTAACAGGACTAAAGGGACCCACATTTTCAAAACTTCAAGTTTATCTGAGTAATAAATTTTAAAAATGGTTTCCTGTGTTATATAGTGCAATTTCCCTATAGTAATGTAGATATCTGTATTCAAATGCATTCACCTAGTATGCTTTGAAAATTAATGCAAATCAAATAAACACAGATTTCTAACACCCACCAAGAAGTACTTCTTGCTCTTTGGGGTATATTCTGGATCCCATTCCTCTTCCTTCGGTCTCTTTTGAAAAGTGGTATTTGAGTTGTTTGGACCAGTATTTGTCCCAGCAAAAACTCCTCTGGCTCTTCCTCTGCCTCTAATTCGAAACTGATTAACATTAACAGAGTTGTTTAGTAATGCAATCAAAAGGAATTTAGTTACATGCAAATTCTAATTTTACTGCAGTAACAAAAATATCTATATATCCCCTAATTTCCTATCTAAATCTCAATCTCATAGTTTAGGATGGGAAGCATGGCCATTTTATACCATACACAAAAATCCTGTCCCCCTGAAAACTACATAGGTTAAGAAGAAATGAATTCAACCTAAGTGTGAATTTTGCACTTTCACGGCTTGAGCTAGTATTTTTAGTCAAGATTTTTTCCTTTCACTGGTCAGAAAGTTGTTTCAATCCTTTGAACTTCCACTGAAATCCCAAGTATTCTATCACACCTATCACCACATAAGCAAGATTTTTCTCCTTTTTATATGATATAATTAATGGACCTACCAATACCCAACTAAATCAACCCAAGGTAGGAATCTGAACCTAGAAAGTAAAGAGGAAAGAAGGTACACAACTATAAATTAATTTAATATTTATAACAATTTTATGAGAACAGAGGGATAAGTTTAACAAAAAATGTGTCATGACATTTCCAATGATCCAATAGAACGAGGTTATATGATTTCTATGATACAAATAAAAGCAAAGATTTGAAAATAGTCAAAATAAAGAGTTGTAATAGAGACAAATTTTTTTAAATGTTTCAAGGTTAACTTTTAAAAACTAAGTGGTAAAAGAAATGGATCTCAAAAACATTCCTTAATACTTGGGTCTTAAAGAACTATGTAGTTATTGATTGCAAAGTATACAAAAAGTAGATTTACTTTACATAATGCTTCCTGATCTCAAATTGGTATTTCTTACCATTTTATTTTTCATAACTAACTCTGACTTTAGGAATAACAAGTCATATAACCACCTCTAACTCATACATTTTACTTTCCCCATGTATAATTCTTTAAAGTCCTATCAAATGATCAAAGATAATTTTATTACTTACGAAGGTTCCTCGTGGTCGGCTAACTCCTGCAAAACTCGAGTATTCTTTCAGTTCGTGGTGAGTTTTAAATTCTTCTTCTCTTTCCTTCTTACTCTCCTTTTCTTCTCTAGAACTGGGAGAAGAAGGTGAGGCAGAAGAGGATGAAGATCGAGAATGATCTTGCTCTCTTTTGTGTTTACTGCAAAATAAAGAAAATAAAAGAATAAATGCTATTTTTAAAAAGATATATACTCTGTTGAATCTTACAATAAAAGGGATATTTTTCAGGTAAAAAAAAAAAAAAAAACTACCCCTATTAAAATTATCACGTTAAGTAAAATAAGTGGGTGTTAAACTTTGACATAGTCTGTTTCCACTCTCCTTCAATATTTGTTACACATCACTACTGGAAAACATGATAAAGCCTGCCAGTTAGAAACTGGTAGTCTGAAAACGTCAAGTTCTTCAATATTTTTAACTTAACTTATATAATATTTTGTTATTTTTAACAAGAGGAAAAGAAGAGAAGGAAAAAGTAAGAATGTTCTTAAGGCCAAGTTTCAAAATGACTGCAGTTTATATACCCTGGGTGAACGGTTGGTATGATTTGGGCCATAACACCATTTTAGAAATAAAAAAGATAGGACATTATAAACACCAGTAATAAATTTAAAAACACAAGTAAAATCCACCATTTACCTAATGAATAGCAAGGAAAATGATTATCTATAATACTTTGTATTCCTAGTATTTATTTGACTCTATGATGATCAAATTTACATGATTCTAATGCAACACCCGAAAAGTCATACCTGTGATTTATCTTACCACTGCTAACAGTATCCATGGAAACATTACTTTGAAAGACTAATACACATTACTATCTCTAGTTTTTCCTCCCCCCCATTTTTCCCATGTTAAACCACTAGATATCAGCTTAAAATTCTTGTACTCTGGGTGTTATGAGTTGAAAAAGTGCGGAATCAAGCATAACGAACCAAAGTTCTTACACAAACTGTTTCTAGAAATGCACTGCATTGAAGTCCAACCTCCTGATGTAGCCTGGATAATAGGACACATTAATTTGTCATTTTTTTTTTCAGTGTTAGCTTGCTATTCCAAAGTTTTTGTCCTCATCCACCATAAGCCGTGTAAAAGACAAATACATTTTTGCTGTAAAACAAATAATTTTAATTGTTTAAATTTAAACACTAGATCACACAGTCAAAATTGAAAGCAATTAAGCTGACAATTATTAAAGGCTAATTAGAAGCTAAACCTAACTCAGACAAGTTTCAACAATTACCTGTCATCTTTGTAAGATTTGTATTCCTTGTAATCTTTTGGAGTTTTTTCCTGCTTTCTTGATCCACTGGATTCCCTGGAGCCCTTGGAATCCCCCCGTTCTTTACTTCTTTCTTTTCTACGCCTTGGTATTTGTCATGAGTCCACTTTGGACTGCTACCTGATTTTTTGAAGTTAAAGCGCCCTCTGCCTCGTTGAAAAGTACCTCGACCTCTTCCTCTTTTGGTCCAATAATCCACACCATCATCTCTGTCATCATGCAAGAAGTACTTCTTGCTCTTTGGGGTATATTCTGGATCCCATTCCTCTTCCTTCGGTCTCTTTTGAAAAGTGGTATTTGAGTTGTTTGGACCAGTATTTGTCCCAGCAAAAACTCCTCTGGCTCTTCCTCTGCCTCTAATTCGAAACTGATTAACATTAACAGAGTTGTTTAGTAATGCAATCAAAAGGAATTTAGTTACATGCAAATTCTAATTTTACTGCAGTAACAAAAATATCTATATATCCCCTAATTTCCTATCTAAATCTCAATCTCATAGTTTAGGATGGGAAGCATGGCCATTTTATACCATACACAAAAATCCTGTCCCCCTGAAAACTACATAGGTTAAGAAGAAATGAATTCAACCTAAGTGTGAATTTTGCACTTTCACGGCTTGAGCTAGTATTTTTAGTCAAGATTTTTTCCTTTCACTGGTCAGAAAGTTGTTTCAATCCTTTGAACTTCCACTGAAATCCCAAGTATTCTATCACACCTATCACCACATAAGCAAGATTTTTCTCCTTTTTATATGATATAATTAATGGACCTACCAATACCCAACTAAATCAACCCAAGGTAGGAATCTGAACCTAGAAAGTAAAGAGGAAAGAAGGTACACAACTATAAATTAATTTAATATTTATAACAATTTTATGAGAACAGAGGGATAAGTTTAACAAAAAATGTGTCATGACATTTCCAATGATCCAATAGAACGAGGTTATATGATTTCTATGATACAAATAAAAGCAAAGATTTGAAAATAGTCAAAATAAAGAGTTGTAATAGAGACAAATTTTTTTAAATGTTTCAAGGTTAACTTTTAAAAACTAAGTGGTAAAAGAAATGGATCTCAAAAACATTCCTTAATACTTGGGTCTTAAAGAACTATGTAGTTATTGATTGCAAAGTATACAAAAAGTAGATTTACTTTACATAATGCTTCCTGATCTCAAATTGGTATTTCTTACCATTTTATTTTTCATAACTAACTCTGACTTTAGGAATAACAAGTCATATAACCACCTCTAACTCATACATTTTACTTTCCCCATGTATAATTCTTTAAAGTCCTATCAAATGATCAAAGATAATTTTATTACTTACGAAGGTTCCTCGTGGTCGGCTAACTCCTGCAAAACTCGAGTATTCTTTCAGTTCGTGGTGAGTTTTAAATTCTTCTTCTCTTTCCTTCTTACTCTCCTTTTCTTCTCTAGAACTGGGAGAAGAAGGTGAGGCAGAAGAGGATGAAGATCGAGAATGATCTTGCTCTCTTTTGTGTTTACTGCAAAATAAAGAAAATAAAAGAATAAATGCTATTTTTAAAAAGATATATACTCTGTTGAATCTTACAATAAAAGGGATATTTTTCAGGTAAAAAAAAAAAAAAAACTACCCCTATTAAAATTATCACGTTAAGTAAAATAAGTGGGTGTTAAACTTTGACATAGTCTGTTTCCACTCTCCTTCAATATTTGTTACACATCACTACTGGAAAACATGATAAAGCCTGCCAGTTAGAAACTGGTAGTCTGAAAACGTCAAGTTCTTCAATATTTTTAACTTAACTTATATAATATTTTGTTATTTTTAACAAGAGGAAAAGAAGAGAAGGAAAAAGTAAGAATGTTCTTAAGGCCAAGTTTCAAAATGACTGCAGTTTATATACCCTGGGTGAACGGTTGGTATGATTTGGGCCATAACACCATTTTAGAAATAAAAAAGATAGGACATTATAAACACCAGTAATAAATTTAAAAACACAAGTAAAATCCACCATTTACCTAATGAATAGCAAGGAAAATGATTATCTATAATACTTTGTATTCCTAGTATTTATTTGACTCTATGATGATCAAATTTACATGATTCTAATGCAACACCCGAAAAGTCATACCTGTGATTTATCTTACCACTGCTAACAGTATCCATGGAAACATTACTTTGAAAGACTAATACACATTACTATCTCTAGTTTTTCCTCCCCCCCATTTTTCCCATGTTAAACCACTAGATATCAGCTTAAAATTCTTGTACTCTGGGTGTTATGAGTTGAAAAAGTGCGGAATCAAGCATAACGAACCAAAGTTCTTACACAAACTGTTTCTAGAAATGCACTGCATTGAAGTCCAACCTCCTGATGTAGCCTGGATAATAGGACACATTAATTTGTCATTTTTTTTTTCAGTGTTAGCTTGCTATTCCAAAGTTTTTGTCCTCATCCACCATAAGCCGTGTAAAAGACAAATACATTTTTGCTGTAAAACAAATAATTTTAATTGTTTAAATTTAAACACTAGATCACACAGTCAAAATTGAAAGCAATTAAGCTGACAATTATTAAAGGCTAATTAGAAGCTAAACCTAACTCAGACAAGTTTCAACAATTACCTGTCATCTTTGTAAGATTTGTATTCCTTGTAATCTTTTGGAGTTTTTTCCTGCTTTCTTGATCCACTGGATTCCCTGGAGCCCTTGGAATCCCCCCGTTCTTTACTTCTTTCTTTTCTACGGCGATCAATGTCATGCCGAAGATCAGCAGAATCACACCTTAATTTTTTATCTCCCTAAAAAAGAAAGATGTAAAATACAGATTTCAGGAAGGAAACAGATACATGGAAAGTTAAATTTCATGCCAGTTTTCTAAAATGGCATTTTCTTACCACAAAAGAATATATCACATAATAGATTAATATTATACACAGTAATTATTTCAAAAATGTACTTGATTGTTTTTACTAAACATCTGGGCACACAAGTGCAGTTAGACTACAGAAGTTAACTAAAAGCTAACTATCCTGAAAAATTTACAGATTTTTTTTTACTCAAAATTTACAGATTTATTTTTTACTCAAAAATCCTAACAAACTTTTATAAAACAAAATGGTACAAGTATTTTTCCAGTCAACACATCTTCATAATTATTCCTCATTCTTTCAAATGGTATTCACTTTTAAACTTTTTTTAAATTTATTTTAGACATTTCTGTTTTTAATATTTGAACAATGACAGTTGTGATGTAGCCTTCTGCCTGTAAAGTTAAGGGATCCTAACATAATGGTTCTCATTACTTAAGCCTCCATTATCAAGCTCTTGCCAAATAAGTCGACCAACTCAATAAAACACTTAAAAATAATTTGCAATTTTTGTAACATGCAAGTGGAATATGATTAAGGACACCAACTGAGGTTAAACAAGGGTAGAAAGAAAGCCAGAGATTATTCGCAATCCTGTACTCAGTATACTGGGCTATATACTGCCCGCCCTTTATTCAGGTATTGCAACGGACATTAGTTTAACTTAACATGCAAGTGGAATATGATTAAGGACACCAACTGAGGTTAAACAAGGGTAGAAAGAAAGCCAGAAAGAGATTATTCGCAATCCTGTACTCAGTATACTGGGCTATATACTGCCCTTTCTCAATTCAGGTATTGCAACGGACATTAGTTTAACTGGGTCACAATTCACCTCCTTCTTGTTCCATTGCTTTTTCAAATACTACATAATTTAAGAAGATGGAAAGAGGCATCTAGGAATGAAGAGAAATTATACATCAGTAAGATGCTAAACAATGTGGACATCCTTGCTAGTATTCAACAATAAGAAGTATTTACTATGGGAAGTCTAGCTATAGTATTCACAAGCATTTATAAAAATGAAAGTATGCATTTCCCAATGGTATCATCTACTCACCTATTTGCTCCAAAGGTAAAAAATTTAATCACGAGCAAAAAACTTCCTATTCAACTAGGTATTATATACTAAGTCCACAATAAAAAGATAATGTAAGTGAAAACACTCCATAAACTGCAGACTACATATAGATTAATTACATGTTATTAATGTGTGTTATTCATTCAGATAGAAAATAAAGGATAAAAGCAAATGCTTTATCTCTTGTTCATTCATCGATACTCTCTCTCCTCCACATCAAAAGTAATGAAGGCGGAAGAAAGATACTGTCAGAGCACCAGGAAAGACTTGAATTGTTAGGGAAACAAAATTAACCATTGTTCTACTCAAGAAACTGAAGTTATTAAAAGAAAAAAAAATTCACTTCTCAGAATCTGTTTTTCCAAGATCAATATGCCCATAAAAAGAAATCACTATCTCTGGTTAAATGCTAGATACCTTTTCTAGTAAGTTTTACAGCGTGCCCTGTTGAATAATTTTGTACACTACCACTGTGATTAACAGTTTCTAGTAATAAAAGTGCCAATAATTTCAAAATAGCCTTTTACTCATCAACTGCAAGGGATATAGTCTCATTTTCCTACATAGAAAACCAAGTCTTCTAACATTTCAGGACAACAGACAGCTGTTACTTTTCAGTCTCTCCTCACATTTCTAACAGACACTTCATGGCCTACATAGCAAATGTCAATTCTGAATTAGCAAGTGTATCAGAGCTCCCCTCTTGATCCACTGAATTCCATTCTAACCAAATGACCCCAACATCTGTTTGTTCATAGGCTCCTTTCACGAGTTCAAAAATCATCCCCCCAATTCATAAGTTATTCAATGGTGACATCCGTTTTCTTCCAAATATTCATTTGTAAATCAGTACTGAGAATGATTTTTTTTCTTAATCAACCTCAAAAATGTCAAGTTGCTTGAGGATTGCTTATCTGTGAAGAACCTAGAGATACTAATGTAAGCACACATACTTCAAGGCACCTATATTCTGTCTCATTCATCCCACCTAATAATACTGTTTTTGCTTTTATTAAAAAATTTTCCTTTATCTACCCATTCATTATTACTCTTTTCTTAAAAATATTTTTTTCCTTTATTAGCATTTTCAAAAAGTACTCTTGATTTAAGATACCTACAGTGTCAGTTTAATTTTCTGTAGGAAGGAACATTATGCACACTTTCATAAGTATATGTGACACATTTACAAGTTAAAAGAGAAGACATCTATAAACATATTGCCTTGAAAAACTACATTTAGCACAAAGTCACTGACTCAGCTGAACTTAACATGAAAAAAAGTTTGTTCAAAAACTTACCTTTTGGTTTTCTTCTTTAAAAACTCTCTCTTCTCCTGCTAAACGGGTATGCTTCCTCAGGGCGCTTGGAGAGATGTCGATTCTCCTTAATTTCAAAGAAAGTGTATTTGTAATCATATTATTAACTTTATGATTCAAAAACTCCACAGTATCATAAATTTTCATAAAAGACATTAGAGTTACTTCTCACACAATTGATAAATATAACACAACTAAACTATCGATCTAATTCCTAACAGACAATTAAGAAGTAAGAACCATATCCATTAAGAGTGAATTAAAATGCTTCAACCAAATTATTTTCAAATATAAAAGCAGCTGACTTTATTATTTACATTCAATCCCTGTGTATGTTTACAACTCTGCAAGTGAATTTTCCCAGCATGAATATCCTAGATGTTAGTCCAGTCAAAGAAATTACCATATACATTGTTGACAATAATGTTCACCTTTTCTTAACTATTAAATTTCATTTTCCCCTTGATTCCCTCCCCACAGCAGCCTGACTTTTAATACATTGAATTTACTTTCATCAAAAATATGAAAAACATGTTTTGGTTAAACTCAGTATTATATCATTTTAAGTAGCAACCATGATAGAATTATAACACATCAACAGTCTCAATAAATATACTTGAATAGTATTATTTGCTCCTAATTAGTCTTCAATATTTTTACATATTTATTACATTTTTGGTTTATTCTGTGCCTTTCCTTGCCATTTTAAGCTATTACATTGTCAGGAAAGTCATGAGGTGCTTTTCTATACAAAATTACATCATGACTTTCCCAGTGACCAACAGTATCAGCTGCAACTTCCCAGAACTACTTAAGCAGTCACCACCAAAACCATATCAAGCAAGTCCTGAATTAGATACTTTATAGCTAATATCACTAATTATTATAAGCATTTTATTTATTTTATAGATGGAAAAACTGATGTCCATGGGCCAAGAGATGGTAAGGAGGTTAAGGCGGCTGAATCCCACATAGCAGACTGTGGTTTGAGACTCAAGACCCCACAGCTTGAAAAACACGCTGGGCATGTGCACATGCATGTCCAAAATCTCAAGAGAATGTGAGAAAAGGGATTGTGGCATGGTCATCCATCCTGGGCAGTGACTTCTTTCTCTGTCTCTCTCCAGAAGTGCAGAAGCCCTACAGCAGATGTCCAGAAATTAAATAACTTGCTCATCACAGTAAAATGAAGTGACTGACAGGGCCAGAATTTCAACCAATTGTCTGACTTCAACATCCATGATTTGGTTTTGTTTTGTTTTTTTTTTCATGAAAAACAATTCTCTCATGTCACAAATTTACTGGGAAAAAGACAACTCTAGGTACCCAACCCCACCAAATAGCAAATGATCTGATAACCATTTTTTTTGATAACCATTTAATTGCATACCAGTTTAAACCAAGTAAGCTGAACATCAAGAAATGGTAAATTATAAGATGGTATGCATTGAAAGTATAACTAAGGATTAAAATCAAATTTCATTTGGATCATGATCATTTAACTCCAGATATAATTATGTTTAAATAGTGTCTTCTTACCAAGCCAATTCAATAGTACTACTTACCTGTGTATCTCAGGACTCTTTTGCCGGGTACTATGTTCTTCTGTGGCTTTCTTTAAGGTCATCGCAGCTGATTTGAAGTATTGCTCTGTTGATGTAGGAGAAATACTGCCCAATTAGTAATCTTTACTTTAAGAGGGAATTTTGTTTGTGACAGAGGGCATGTATCGGATGAAAAGAAAATAAATAAAAATACTCAAGAAGCCTAGCAGAAGAAAATCAAATGTTACAAAGAACTTCTACCCTTTCAATTTCTTGTACCTCAGTAAGTGATTGCAAAGTTCCTCACAGATCCCTGCCAGTGCTACAAATAATCCAAGAATTAATAAATTAAACAAGTATCTCTAATTCATTTCACTATTGCACTACCTACTCAGAACAAAAAGGAACAATAATATGTGGGTGTTCTTTTATCTTGCCAATATGAACCAATGAAGTTACAGAAAAACAAAAATACTAAAGTGACTACGAAGCTGGTTTGAAGAAACCAATAAAATTATTTTATTAAGAACTGTGCTGACTTATCAACAGACATGGATTTAAGAAAAAATTGAATACTGGCATTTTACTGGAAACATAAGTTTAAGTCAAGTAACATTCACTAATTACTCAAAAATCTGGCATCTTGGCAAACCTGACAGCACTTCTGTGTCTTTAAAATTTTAATTAGTAATATCCAATACTGATTCATTTTTAAACCAGTTTAAGTTATGCTGTAAATGTAAAATAGACCTATAAAGTCATGAGCTATGGAATGTTACAATATGAAGTAAGCTATCTGCTTAACAGGTCAACATACATCTGTGTCAACTTACCGCCCAACATCCAGCACATGTCTCATAACCAATCATTAAAACTTGAAACGGCCACTACAAGGGTAGTGCCTCAATCATAATTCCATGAAACCCAGGAATTTGAGCTAGCAACTCAGTTTTTATGCCATTTTTGCCAGGAAGACAGAAGATTCAACTTTGCCTGTATCTTTCAACAGCTATTTTACTTTGAAACATGGATTTTGCCATTTCAAAACATATTCCAGGACCTAGTTACAATGAAAAAGAAAACATCACTGGGCATTTTCAGCTCTATATAAAGTAAGAGCTGTTCAGTTCGGTTGCACAATACCAATTATGAAACATTGCTACAGTTCTTTTTAAAAAGGAAAAAGAAAATGAAAAAAGAAAAAAATGTATCAAAACCTGATCTCAAAATTCAACAATAAATTGTAAAATGTGGAGACAGGTCAAAAAAAGTTGAAAAAAGAAAAAAAAAAGTTAAAATGTTTCATATTTTATGTACCACATATGGTCATAAACTGGTTCACAAACCTACTAACAGCCAAACTGCAAAATTCTCCTTTGTTACCATGTTTAAATAATTACAGCCCAAAAGAAAACCATTATTTACTATTTTGAAACATCGAGTGCATAAAGAATTGCTACTGACAGTTTAAGCTATCACAAGTTGCTCTTATATCAAAAAAGAACTTTAAAAATAAAAAAAAATTTAAAAAGCTTTTAAGACCAACAGCCAGGAGGTTCTTGAGAAGAAACTTACTTCATATACAGAAACAAACTAAAAACAAAAACTTAACTGCTAAAAAAGCCAAACCCTAAAACCTTTGAAAATTTTCAAAAACTAGAATTACATATTGGTGGAACTAGAAATGCAAAGCATTACTTTTACTGATATACGCACACTTATATTTAGGATGGGATCTAAAGAAATGTCACAGTTATTGTCCTAATTAGTCACTTCTGATGTAATCACTATTTTTCTAATATACTTTTAATTTCTTCAACTTTTTCCTCCTTTAAAAATCTTGATACATTTTCTTCTGGTTTATTAATCATCATTTTAAAAAACTTAAGTAACAAATTAAGTAGCACAGAAGAAAGAAAGGCAGTCAACACGGTTTTCCCACCAGTTTCAGGTTTCTATAGAAGTTGAATTCAGTAAGTCAGAGTCATTCTGTTAGAATCCACATCAAAAGGTTATCACAAGTCATAGAGAAGCAATGAAAAATAATCTGTATGTGTTCTGCACTCTAAATATAACTTTTTTTAAAATCTCGGTATTAAATAAATCTGTACCATATTTTATCATGATATAGATTTCTAGGGTGTTGTAATTCTAGCATTTACTTTTTTATAAAATTTATTTTTAAGTCTTGATGCTAGCAAAATTCATGTCTCTTCCATGAAACTATTTTTCCAAATTTAACATTACTGTTATAAACCTGCTACCCCTGAGGTTCATTAAGTATTAAGCATAACTACTTTTTTTTTTTAATTTGTATGCAAGACAAATTTAATTCACAATACTCAACACAAGCAGCATACCTTTAACATGATGAACCAAGGAAACAATGTGTTGAATAAATGACTCTGAAGTGCTTTTGCTGGCCTGTGGCAACTTAATGTGGTCAAAGATGGATCGGAATTCTTGCTCCTTCTTGACAGAATGGACAAGTGTACTAGCAAGTAGCCTGTCTTTAGTCAAGGAAGCAGGTCTGGAACATATTGACAACACACACACACACAAACACAAAATATACCATTGGTTTGATTATGAAAATGTCCCCCCCCCCAAAAAAAAAAGATATATATCTATTAACTAATTACCCACAGATTATATACTGGGTAGCAATGTGAAATTACCTGTTAGAATCATCAAGAGGAACAGGTGCCATTTTGAGTTTGACTTCAGGACGATGAGAATCACTAGCTATCATTTTGATCCTAAGTGGGCTCTCCTCTCTGAAGGTAGATTTTTCCCGTGCATCCAGATTCTTGTGTAAAGGGGGACTGTAATCAAAGAGGTCTTTGAGCTTTTCAGACTTTACCTGCTCAGGTGATTGAGTTTCTTTCTTTACTGTTATTCTTTCAGAACTTTTGTCGTCTTCTTTGTGCTTATCTTTTGTAGTGCTAGGCCTTTCCACTACATATCCAGTCTCTTTAAGTTTATAATTTTTTTCTTCTCTAAATCCATCACTTTCCCAACTGCCTTTCAGTGAAACTTTAGACTTGTACTTGTGTCCTTCCTCCTCAGTATTCCGATGAGATGCAGTAGCAAAATTTTTACCCTGATCTGCAAGGACTGACTTTCTGAACTGCCTATAATCCTCTGTTTCCTCTGTGTCATCCCCTTCTGAATCATTAAACTTTTGTTTTCCGGACTCTTTATCACTGAAGTAATCTAGAGGTTCCTGATCTTCCCATTCTCCTTCTGCCCTGCCTTTCTCTGATCCTTTTTCCTTTGGAGTCTCTTTATCCCTGGTACTTCTCCTCTCAAGCAGGAATACTCTAGACTCTTCATCTGTGAACCTTTTTAAGAACTTTCCAGTCTTTGTGGTTTCCTGATCCCCACCATCATGATAAAATGAAGAGTGTCCCCTAGACTCCTCTCTTGGAGCATTCTGTGGTGTGATTGTCTTTTGCAGGACTTCTTCATAAAGGGATGCTTTCTTTACTGTTATTCTTTCAGAACTTTTGTCGTCTTCTTTGTGCTTATCTTTTGTAGTGCTAGGCCTTTCCACTACATATCCAGTCTCTTTAAGTTTATAATTTTTTTCTTCTCTAAATCCATCACTTTCCCTACTGCCTTTCAGTGAAACTTTAGACTTGTACTTGTGTCCTTCCTCCTCAGTATTCCGATGAGATGCAGTAGCAAAATTTTTACCCTGATCTGCAAGGACTGACTTTCTGAACTGCCTATAATCCTCTGTTTCCTCTGTGTCATCCCCTTCTGAATCATTAAACTTTTGTTTTCCGGACTCTTTATCACTGAAGTAATCTAGAGGTTCCTGATCTTCCCATTCTCCTTCTGCCCTGCCTTTCTCTGATCCTTTTTCCTTTGGAGTCTCTTTATCCCTGGTATTTCCCCTCTCAAGCAGGAATACTCTAGACTCTTCATCTGTGAACCTGTGAAAAAGCAAAGATGACAATAACTCTGAATTACATTCATTGCACAACACTTGCAAACTTAAATGTGTTACTCAATACCACAAGACCAACAAGGAGAGAAAATAACCCTACTAAAAGGTGCTTTTTCAAATTCCACTTGTCAAAATCGTTAACAGCATCATCCATAGAGAACTTACGTACTAACTTTTTTAAAATAATTATTTTATTTAATTTTATTCATCACTGTTTTTTTTTTTTTTAATTTGACCAGACAGAGAAGAGAAACTCAGAAAACAAGCCAAAAGGTCTGGGACTAAAACCACAGTCATGTGGGAGTCCAGCACCTAACCAACATGCCACCAGCCAGCCCCCTAAACTAACATACTGACTTTTAAAAAAATTACGTATTAGGCTTCCTGAATATTCAAAAGTAAAGCTATTCTGAAAAACGTGTCCTATAAGTTCACAATTCTGCACCAACAAATCCAAATTTCTACAAACATAGTAACATCCAACACAGTTTAAATTTTATTTGGTTTTGAAGATAAAGTCCCACTAAGTCACAATCCTGCCTGGATGGGAATACAGTTGTACACCAACATGCCAGCTTTTAGTATGAGCTAGGAATGGAACCGAAGATTACCATGTGGCCTCAGAATGCCAAGTAAAAGCATCAATCAGTAGGCACTACCAGGGCTGGACTGTCTTAAGTTTATTTTTTGAGGCCAAGAACCTCTAAAAGACAACACATAATCTATCATAATATTTCTACCTATAATTACTGTGCAAATTTCTACTTCATTTCTTATCTATTAATATAAACAAGAGACTGTACAAGTCAACTTTAATGCAGTTAAAGGAAGTTAATATTTCATTTGAATCACAAAGCAGTTCACAGATACTGAATACTTTGCTCTAGAAAATGTCTTCTATCAATATTAAGTAGAAACTATCATTTTGATCATTTTATATTGTACAGTGCTATACCATAAATAGCACTGCTCATATTTAAGTCGATCTTTACATTTTCAATGAATTTTCATTAAATTTGTTATCAATTGTCAACACATGCGAAATCAGGATTTAAACACAGTATCAGTTAAAATATCACTAGAAGTCAGAAATACCATTCATTTCTCTAGTTAGACAAAATTTAAATTTGACAAACTATGATAACACATGATAAGTGAATGTATGATGTAACTGCATTATTTATGTAGGTCATATTCTAATAGTGAAAAGAATTAAATAAGCTTTCAATGCCTTGACACAAAATTAATTTCTAAAAGCCTTTAAATTTTAACACATTGTTTTATGACACTAAATTTCTCATCTTTTGGTCAATATTTGTTAAATTTTAGACTAACTGAAAATAAAATTAAAAAGAAAAATATAAATTAGTTTATTCAAACATTTAACTTCCAGTTTAGCAGATTATGACTAAAAAAATTGAGAATTATCTTACAAAGAAGGAAGAGTAAAATTGCTGAATACACATCATAACACCATTATTACGTCTTATAAAAGACAGAATTGTGAAAACAAAAGCATTGATACTGTAATCTAAATTCTCCACTTAAGCTCTTACCTCTTTAAGAACTTTCCAGTCTTTGCAGTTTCCTGATCCCCGCCATCAGGATAAAATGAAGAGCCCCTAGACTCCTCTCTTGGAGCATTCTGTGGTGTGATTGTCTTTGCAGGACTTCTTCGTGAAGGGATATGATGAATTGGACTATTCTGAGAAGGACTATACCTACTAGATCCATTTCCAACAGACCCAGACCCAGACCTTTCAGGACTATGCTGAATGGAATGTGAATGCTGAGAGGGGGTGTTTTTTGCAGAGTGGACTGTACTGAGCATGGGGGCATCAGAACAAGATGAACTCTGACTAGGTGGTGTAGCAATAGGTGAAGGACTATGGGGTGATCTGGAACTATTATCATAAGCTGAAAGGCCAGGCCAAATATCACCAGACATGGCCGATGATTTATTAAACTCATCAATTGATTCAGATGGGTCATGTTCAAATGTATCTTTTGGTTCTTCTTGTGATTTATTTTTCAAAGGACTCTCCTCTTGGGGCTCCCCTTCAGCTTTTTTGGTTTGTTTTTCCTGAGACCCTCGTCTTTTAGAGACAGGGGATTTGCTATATGGGGATGAAGAACGTGAAGATGATGATCTTGGAGACCTAGAGGATCTATAAGACCGGCGAGATCTGCTTCGGGATCTTTGAGAAGAAACAGATCTTCTTTTTGGACTCCTGGAACGTGAACGACCTCGTCTAGGACTCCGAGAATGCCTTCTATTCCAAACAGGTCTATAACCACCTCGATGGTATCTACCTCCTCCTCCTTGGTAATGTCCTGTACCCCTTCCTCTGTACCCATAAGGTCGTCTCATTCCTCTATTATTTCTGTAATCGCAACGATAATCTCTAGAATAAATACAGTCTCTACTACGAGATCTTGAGTATGTCCTGGAACGAGACCTAGAACTAAAAATAAAATAAATATCAATGCAAAAAAAAAAAAGTATTCTATCCAACCATTCTAAATACTTTCAGCTTAATAAACACATAAATAGACTGTCAAAGATTAAAAAGTATATCTTTTAAATTCCTCATTTGTACAAAAGCTAAATGCTCAAGTTAAACTCATTTCTAAGGTAAATATTGAGAAAGAAATGTATAAAGGCCTTAGGAATGAAGGCACAGAAAACAAACAAAATCAACATATTCAGCAATGGAACATACTGATAAATCATAGTACATCTAGACAAGGCACTTTAAGTGATAGTGTGAAAGAATCCGTATTTAATAGCATGGCATCAGGTACTGTAAAATGAGAGAGAAGGTCACACACAACACTACATACAGTTAAATGCCTCTATGGTTAATATAACCATAAATTTAACCCCAGAAAAATCAGACACTAGTATAAATTAGCGAGATCATAGTCACTTTTATCTTCAACTTGTGAATTTTATTTTCTAAGCTAAGTATGTAATAATTATTTGAAGGAAAATAAGGAGTTAATCATTTTTCTTTTCTCCTTTTAGGTTTTTGCAACAGGGCAATTGCATGTACTCACCAGAAAGAGAGAAAGTAAGAAATCACCCTGTGGGAAGCGTGGCTACACTGAAATCCCTTCTCTTGTATTCTCCTCTAAGAATTTTGGCACACATGCACATACATACACTTGGCATGATTTTCAAGCCACTGGCCAGGGACTCTAACTGTGGTTAGCCATGTGGTTAAGCATCTTAACCACCATGCCACCTGCTGGCCTCAGCAATTAATCATTTTTAAAACAAAAGAAGTGCAGTTATTCTTTTTCTTAGAATTCAAAGAATCAGTCAGAAATAAAAAATTATAAAATAATAGAGATCACCTGACTGACAGAAATTCTTATCCAATTTATCTCCTAACATTACGGACACACACAAATAAATCTACCATATAATAAAATACAGCAAGAATCTGACACCTAAAGTTACAATAACTGTATTAATAAATCCAATCTCTGCCATTTACTAGCTTGATACTTCAGACTATTCTCAATTTCTCCAAGTCTAACATGGGGATAACAATATACCTAATTCACAAGGTTTTATGAAAAAAAAAAATTATTAACAGGTTTATCATGGTATCTGCATACAATAGGCACTTAATAAATATTAACTGGTGTGATTATCATTATTAAAAGAATTAAGAGCACATTAATTCACCTGTATCTCTTCTTTCTAGAGTGTGATCGTGATCTTGATCGAGAAGTAGACTGTGATCTAGACTTTGATCTTGAAGAATGTGATCTAGAATTGGAGCGACCCATTTCTTTTCCCTAGTCAAATAAAGAGCAAAAAGGTTAAAACCACATATGACTGAAGTCTCACATTACTTATTTTCAGATACAAATTTAAGTTCATATGTTTTTCAAAGGATATTATTCATCATTATTATTCTTTTCAAATTAGTATCTAGGAGACATGTCAATTATCCTTGTCTGACAGGCATTATTACTGAAGACACAATAGAAGGTTTCTATGGACTGCCCCACCATGTGCCTCAATCCAAAAGGCAGAGGCAGAAAAACCAATGATATCAAACTGTAGCAGCATTAGATGTTATTCCATGCCCAATACAAATATCTACCTATCCTGTAAAAAAGATAAACATCATCAGAGTATGACAGATGAGGAACCTGAAACATACAAAGTGGCATAGTTCTAAAGAAAAATAAACCTACCAAATTGTCATCATTGAGCTTTATGGTGTTGACATGTAACTGAATTGACTACTCCATGTTTACAATACTTCCTAGAGAGATACTGGATAGTCTTCTAATAGGAAGTCATGGAGCCATGGCTCTAGTCTCAGCAGTCATGGCTGCAGAATAAAAATGGACTTACGTGACAATGCCTACCCTTACAGTTTTCTAGTAAGGTGAAAAGGCATAAAAGATAAAGAAATAGCCCATATTACTGCAAGAAAGAAATATTAGAACTACGGGGGGGGGGGGGGGGGGACACTTGCGG